CACATTAAAAAAAAAAAAAAAAAAAAAAAAGTCCCCTCTCTGTCAACTACTTGGAAGTTGGAAGGTATCGGTATCGCCGCCAAGAAGGAACTGAGTGAACAGTTTACTTTCCGGTAAGCCCAAGGGCCAAGGGTGAGATGAGGCGGAGACCTGTTTTGTGCGATTCATCTATTTTTAGAACGAGTTTGCCCTCGAGACTGGTAGGGTGATGGTGCTGAGTGCTGGTCACACTGAGGTAGGATAGTAGGGACAGGGGGTGCGCTGGGAGCATTAACGTGGGGATGGGTAGGGTAGGTGGCCTATCCTGTCAAGACAACCATTGGCTGCCGCTGCCAGCAATCACCGCGTGTCTGGTCTACGTATATACTTGAAAAAAAAAAAAAACCAGAACGAGCAATCAGATCGAGCGATCTGTCCGAATCAGGGCATCGGTAATCCCGAGGGAGAGATGACGCGGGGGGTTTGGTTTTCTTTTTCCTTTCCTCTTTTTTTTTTTTTCTAAAAGAACGAGCTCTCAGCGGGGAACCCAGTGTGAGGTGAAATTGAGAGGAAAAAAAAAAAAAAAAAAAAAGCATTAGATCGAGCAATCTGTCCGAATCAGGCATCGGTAATCCCGAGGGAGAGATGACGCGAGGTTTGGCTTTCTTTTTCCTTTTCTCTTTCTTACCATACCATTTCTCGCTTTTTGTGTGTCATCCTTGCGCAGGGGCCATGGTACTCTTCTCCGTAACGATACAAATAGAGAGAAAAAAGGTTCTTTCTCCCTCTCTTGTGCCCTTCACTTTTTAGTTGTGAAGTCAGGGCGTGGCACCGACTTTGACGGCACTTCACTTCACGACTGGCGCCAAACAACAGCCCGCACGAAATATTTCCAGCCCGCCAGACTGGAACGCACATGTGCCTGCCCTCCGGCGGTGACCGATTGCTACACACGATTCACTTTTAGTGAATAGATAAATTTAGCGGCTCTGAGTGCTCGGCCCGCTTCCCAGCACGTGCTGCTCCTGTCTCTTATACACATCTAGATGTGTATAAGAGACAGGGGCGTGGCACCGACTTTGACGGCACTTCACTTCACGACTGGCGCCAAACAACAGCCCGCACGAAATATTTCCAGCCCGCCAGACTGGAACGCACATGTGCCTGCCCTCCGGCGGTGACCGATTGCTACACACGATTCACTTTTAGTGAATAGATAAATTTAGCGGCTCTGAGTGCTCGGCCCGCTTCCCAGCACGTGCTGCTCCCCACGAATAGACTGGAGCATTGTTCTGTTACAACAAAAAAAAAAAAAAAAAAAAAAAACAGCGGATCGAGTGCTGAAATCCGGGGGGGATCGAGCACTGAACCCAGAGAGACGAACCGAGTTCAATTGGCATTGAGAAAACCGAAGCCAAGCCACTTGATCGAAGTGACGCCGCCAAAAGACTCATATTCAACTTGCAGCTGGGGCAATCTCCCACTTGCACGGGGAGGGAAGTCCCTTTGGCAAACAGTTTGGACAACTGAACACGCGTGTGACGGGTGTTGGACAGTATTTCTCAACACTGGAAATTGGAAACGCGCTGGGCCACAGAACCCAGGAGAATGGAAGGCCGAAGGCGGCTGTGAATGGGATGCGCTTGCTATGTAGAACAGGCTGGTACATGCAGCTGCCTGCTATATATCGAACAGGCTGGTACATGCAGCTGCCTGCTATATATCGAACAGGCTGGTACATAGAAAGCCTCCTATATATAGAGCTAACATGCTGTGCATGCAAAGGTAGTCTTTTTTTTTTTTCCCCCTTGTTTTTTATATATTCTTCTCTCAATTCCCTTTTTTTCGGTTTTTTAAAGGATTAATAGCAAAAATATTGCTCCCTCCAAGTTTGGCAGCAAAAATGTAGTAGGTTCGAAGTTTCCTTTGCAAAAATAGAAGTTTCGTTGCAGCTTTATCGGGTTCCCATAGTTTGCCAGTAAAAATACCGCGTTCTGCCCAGTTTCACAGCAAAGGACTCCTAGGCCTCTGGCCTCAGGGACTCAAGGACTCAAGGACTCAGCTTTCTGGCCTCAGGCACTCAGCGTTTTTTTTTTTTTTTTTTTTTTTTTTTTTTTTTTTTTTTTTTTTTTTTTTTTTTTTTCCCTGGGCATGGCCGACGCATCTTGGCGTGCCCACAGCCGAGATGCATCGGCCACGGCCGCGAAAAAAAAAAAAACAGGAAACGTGGCCGAGGCATCTCGGGCATGGCCACGGCCGAGATACCTCGGCCGACGGCCACGCCCGCGGAAAAAAAAAAAAAAAAAGAGAAAAGCTGAGTGCCTGAGGCCGGAACGCTGAGTCCCTGAGTCCCTGAGGCCAGGGGCCTAGGGGGCCTAGGGGTCCTTTGCTGTGAAACTTGGCAAAACGTGGTATTTTTGCTGGCAAACTTGGAACCTGATAAAGCTGCAACAAAACCTCTATTTTTGCAAAGGAAACTTCCAACGGAGTACATTTTTGCTGCCAAACTTCGAAACAGCAATATTTTTGAAATTAACCCTTATTTTAAAGCACCAGTACATGGGCACCTGGACCGCGACACGTCAAAACTGTAGGCGTGAAACCACCCAGCGTTTGAGGTTTCCGCCTCATTTTCTTGTGGCAACAAGTTTTGGACTGCGAGGCTGGGGAAGCAAACAATACTGCAAAGAAGCAGTCGCATCACAACTCGAATGCAATAACGCACAAAAGCAATAAAGCATGGAGCTCAAAGCTGTCAAAAAGTCACATCAATTTACTTAAGTAAGCTGCATTCTTCTCCCGATTTCACCTCACACTACCTACCTACCACCTCTCCTAATTATAGTCATACCGGAACCCCGTAGCAGCAAGAAGTGGAAGGTCCAAAATTCGGCAAATTTTGGCGAATTTTTCACCGAAACTGCCATATTTCCCTGAATTTTTATTTTTTCCTTGGTTTTTCTTTTTGCCTGATATGTATGTGCCTTAGGGTATATCTGTATTCAGTTTCGCCGCATTTGGAGCAGTAACGAAAAACTTAGCAAAAGCACCGGACTCGAAAAAAGATTTGGCGAACTTCAAAAGCTACTCCGAATAGGGTTGTATAGTGCTCTTGAATTTGTTTTTTTGTTTTTTTTTTGCCTGTTTTTTTTTTTTTAATGTTTGTATTATGACCCTGCATAGTTTGTTTGCAAAAGTTTCGACAACATTGTTTGTAGCGATGCGGCGAAAAACCCCAAATTTTTGGCCTTCCATTAACCGCTAGTGGTAGCATCTAGAACCGTGTTCATAGGAGAACATGTGGGGGCTGCTCCCAACCTGCAGGTGGGCGATTCCGGCCAGGAGACAGCCGGTAACATTAGGGCTCATGCCAACAGGACCAATCCCTGTGCCTCCCCTCAGGCCCCCTCCCCTACGAGCATCAGCAGACTCTGCTCAATGCTGATGAGGGGATCCAGTGGCCTATCTCTAGGTGGTGGGTGCCAAGCATGCCCAAGAGCTATGTGTCCGATTTTGGATTCAACGCGGGTTCCACATTGAATTATTCAACGCGCGTTGAATCGCCGTTTAAACGCCCGTTAGACGGAGGAAAACATGGTCCGCAATGATTTTTTTCCCGGGCTAAACATAATTGAAAACAAACATATATATTTGGGGTTGTAGATCTTTTCGAGGTCTACAACCTAATATTTTTATTTTTATTTTTTGAGCTTTGAACTAGGCTACGAGAGTGACCCGGGATCACTTGCCCGGCCGGGCCAAAAACTATTAAAAAATAAAAATTAAAATAAAAAAATTAAAATTTTATTTTTTATTCTAAATTTGGTGCAGAATTTCTATGTGACCCTAAGGCAAAAGTTGTTCAGTTTATTTTTCTGCATAACATGGTGTTTTTTTTTGGATTTTTTTGATTTTGTTTT